GGATCCAGTGGGAAACACGACTCGCACACTGTCGTTTTAGGATCCTGCTTTACATGCTACCATAGGTTTGATCCTCGCTCTTGATGCAGATCCCACTGATACTTGTATCTGACGCGAGCGGATGGTGTGTTACAGGCGGATTCGACACCCTATTTAAGCGAAGAAGCGTTAGGAAGATCGGAAAGAAAAGGAGAAAGAAAACGGAACAGTACAAGTTAAAGGATAATTGTACGAGCTGAGTAAGTGTACCCCTTGCACCGGGAGTAATATTGGGCTCTAGCTAGTGTTTCCGGGAACAAACCCTAAAACTAACTCGTTATAGTACCAAACGTCAAAGTTCTAGGGGGAATAATTCTCGATCGTGCGTACCGTATTCAAGTGCTTTAGAGAAATAAGCCAACATTTACCCCCCCAATAGTCAAGGAAATTAGTCTCCGGACGACCGCGACGACAAGTTCGGCTCAAGCCAAGAGTTTGATTCGCTGAAAGCAGTACAGGGGAGACTTGAGCTACATTATCTGCATATCGAAATAATAGCTCAATCGGGGTGTTGTAAATCAGGAATTATGAAACAGTTTATGAAGGAAGGCGTGCAGAAGATACTGGGCCCAGATCATCGGGATAGGATGGGGACCATCAATAACAAAGGTATGACACTGCACCAGCAGGGGAAGTACGACGAAGCCGAGATATTGTATCGAAGTGCATTGGCGGGCTGCGAGAAAGCGTTTGGGTTAGATGATCGAGATACATTACAGAGTGTCAACAATCTCGGAGCTGCTCTGCTCTGTCAGGGAAAATACGACGAAAGTGAGATTATGCACCGGCGTGCATTGGCCGGCAGAGAGAAAACGCTAGGGCTGGACCATCAAGATACCTTACAGATTGTCCACAATCTAAGTGTGACTCTGCGTAGTCTAGGAAAGTACGACGAAGCTGAGATCATGGATCGTCGTGCGTGGGTGGGCAGGGGGAAAACGTTGGGGCAGGATCACCGAGATACCTTACAGAGTGCGCACAATCTCGGTACTGTTCTACATAGTCAAGGAAAGTACGACCAAGCCGAGACTATGTATCGACTTGCATTGGTGGGCAGAGAGAAAACACTGGGGCTAGACAATCAAGGTACCTTACAGAGTGTCACCAATCTCGGTCTGGCTCTGCACAACGAAGGAAAGTACGACGGGGCTGAGATCATGCATCAACGCGCATTGGCGTGGCGAGAGAAAACCCTTGGGCTTGACCATCGAGATACATTACAGAGCCTCCGTAATCTAGGCGCGACGCTTCATTGTCAGGAGAGGTACGCCGGGGCCCGTGATGCGCCGCGACGTGGGCTCACGAGCAGAGAAGAAACGCATACGCTAGATCATCGAAATGCCCTTCAGAGTGTCAACAATCTGGGTACGGCTCTGTGTGGCCAAGGAAAGTATGGCGCGGGCGAGATTATGCATCGACGTGCCTTGGTGGGCAGAGAGAAAAGGCTCGGGCTAGATCATCGAGATACCTTAGAGAGCGTTCATGATCTAGGTGTAGCACTGCATTATCAGGGAAAGTACGCCGAGGCCGCAGATATACATCAACGGGCATTGGCCCATAGAAAGAAAACCCTCGGGCTAGGCCATCGAGACACCCTTCAGAGCTTCAACAATCTTGGCACGACCCTGCGCAGCCAAGGAAAGTATGACGAGGCCGAGATTATGCATCGACGTGCGTTGGCGGGCCGAGAGAAGATGTTCGACCTGGATCATGAAGATATCCTAACGAGTGTCGACGATCTCGGTACAACTCTACATGGTCAAGGAAAGTACAACGGGGCTGAGATTATGCATCGACGTGCATTGGCCGGCAGAGAGCAAACTCTCGGGCTCGGCCATAGAGATACCTTATACAGTGTCAACAATCTGGGTACTACTCTACGTAGTCAAGGAAAGTACAGTGAAGCCGAGATTATGTACCTCCGTGCATTGGCGGGCAGAGAGAAAAGGCTCGGGCTAGATCATCCAGATACCTTACAGAGTATTAGAGACCTAGCTGTGGCACTGTATCGTCAGGAAAAGTATGATGAAGCGGAGATTATGCATCGGCGTGCCTTTGCGGGCCAAGAGAAAACCCACGGGGTAGATCACCGGAATAGCTTACATAGTGCCGGTAATTTGGATGCGGTGCTGCATGGTCAGAGAAAGGACAGCGGAGTGGAAATTGTGCATCCACATATAACAGCAGGCAGGGGGAACGCGCTTAGACCTCATAGCCCAGACATCCTACAAGGTGTTTTCCGACTAGCTGTGACTCTTCTTTCTGAGAGAAAGTACGAAGAAGCTCAGGTCATGTATCGGCAAGGCCTAAGGGCTATGGAAAAGGCTCTGGGGCAAGATCATCCAGATGCCCTCGATAGTATGAATATGCTCGCCGAAACGCTGCTTGATCTGGGAAGGTATGACGAAGCGGAGGCTATTTGTCGACGTGCATTGGCGGGTAGGGAGAAGGTTCTAGGAGTAGATGATGCAGCTACCCTTACCAGCGCCGATAACCTTGGTCGGACACTGTATCATCAGGGAAAGTACGAAGAGGCGGAGTTTATATTTCAATCTACGCAGGCGGGTAGAAAAAAATTGTTTGGCATATACCACCCAGATACCCTACTGAGCACCCTTCGCCTAGGTGTCACACGGCTTGATCGGGAAAAGTATGAAGAAGCTGAGATTATTTATTGGCATGCCTTGGAGGTTATGGAGAATGCCCTGGGGCCTGATCATCCGGGGGTCCTCGAGAGCATGAATACGTTGGGCGAGAAACTTCTTGATCTGAAGAAGTATAGCGAAGCAGAAGCTATTTGTCGGCGTGCGATTGCGGGTAGAGAGAAAACACTCGGACCAGGTCATCGCGATACCCTTATAACTGTCAATAATCTTGGTCTGGCACTGCGTAATCAGAATAAGCACCACGAAGCGGAGATTAATTATCGACGTGCATTTATGGGCGCGGAGAAGACGCTGGGGCTTGACCACCGAGATACCCTAATGTGCATCTATAATCTGGCTGGGGCGCTGCACAAGCAGGGAAAGTATGAGGAGGCGGAGAAGATGCATCGGCGTGCGCTCGCAGGGCGAGAGAAAGTTCTGGGGCTAGGTCACCGATACACCCTTCGTAGCCTCATCAAACTAGGCACAGTACTGCACGAGAAGAAAAACTACGATGAGGCGGAGATTATATATCGACGCGCTGTTATGGAGGCAGAGAGAGTTCTAGGGCCAGACCACCCAAAAAAGCTTTCACCCACTCTCCATCTTCCTCTATGCCCGAGCGATGAGTCACGCATCATGATGGAGATGAAGGTCCACGTTTACTCCCGAATGAAATCATGCTGGCTGTTCTCTTATATATCTTATCCCCTCATTTCTTTTTCAAATATTCGCTGGTTTTATATTGGGGTTCCTTTCTTTTCAATGTATGATATGTGTTAAACGGTTTAATTCTTTTGATTGATGTTGAATTAGTTTCGTGGTCATAATTTGAGCAACTCAACAATGTTCTAAGAGCATCACCAAAGAAAAGGTTCCTCTCATTGTCTGTCATATCTTTTCTGACTAGTTTTGTTCTTTGATTTTCTTTGCTGCATTTCATACCTCGCATTGGTACATTAGTAGACTACTATCGAGGGAGAGGAGGCGGGAGAAAGGTAGATTAATTTACCTCGACACTGCTATAATTGCTACGGGGCTCAAGAGAAGAGTCACGATGGACTTTACAAAGCAAGAATTGTCGCTATGTAGCTCCGGAGCTTGAGAAATGTTTCACAAACAATTCGGCTCGCGTGGGTTTCGGCTGCGTGGGTGTACGCAGTTCACATCGCCTGCATTCCTTTTCCGGGGTTCGCAATATGATACCACACAGTTGGAACACCCCATTTGTGCAACACAATTGATCATTAAATTAGGAAGCTTCCAATCCGGCATTCCAATAAAATGTTGTAACATGACTTCGGAATATGCATCAGTCATGTCAATGACTACGACGGAATTTCTGGTATGAGTTCATCACTAGATGCGCTCATTACATGGTTGACTATAGCAGAGTTTCTTCGGGAACTCTATCGTAGTACTTGTTTGGTTTTCTGGCTCGTGTTTCCTTTCTCTTTACCGCTACGTTGTGTAGTATCGTTGTCGTTGATTTTCTTTTTCTCCTGCACGAAGTACATGTCATGTATCATTGTAGTGCGCTTCCATGAAGGATAAATATGCCCCGATAGCCCTCCTGTAGAGCTTCAATCAAGCAAGAAGTACAACTTCAAACAAGAATTACAACAATAAGCTATCACCCTATGTGAGTGACCATCCATGACGTGACCAAATCCTGGGCAACATCAAGCTTCATATCATGCCAGAAGCTGCTCAAGCCTATCATTAGTCCCATGGCTCCAGCTGTCCGACTCAAGTCCAAAATCCTGTCCATTTTGTTGGAACCCATTCGCTCAGAGCACTAATGAAGGAACTAGAGGCTCGCTTTGATTAAGATGGGGGTTGCGTTTGATTTGCTTTTTGAACTGTTTTTGGTGCCCCGTTCCCGAGATTATTTGGATGCTATTATTTTGTGTTCCTGGGTCGAGATGGCTTTCCCGGGATGGTACATTTGCTACTTCGGCTCTGTTGACTTCCTACACCTAGTGATGGCGCGTGGGCTTGGTGTGCTGTGCATCTGCTCACCACAGAAAATTAAATAACTGAACGGTGTGCTATCTCATTGGGCCGTCCTCTATCGGCCTTTCCCTATCAGTAAGATCAAGAGAGTTTTTTCTTCCCCCTCCAGGAAGAGAGAAAGGGCTGTGTTTTTCGCCCCCCTTTCCAGAGAAGGAAACTTTGAACTACGTAGTTCACGGTTCAATTATTTAAGTTTCTATGGTATACCATTTCTGTGCTTTAGCATGTTCTGATGTATCCTTTTGTCTTCTTTCCCTCAGAGCAGCGGGTGGAATAATCGTCCGAGAAGTCACCATATAAGCAGGCTAGGATTCTTAGGCCGCTTGGCATATTAAGGATTTGATTCATTTCCTCTCTGCCGTGTTCCTTTGTATCGCTTTTTTGTCTCTTATATGCTTCACTGGATGGATTTCGTCGGCGGAAGTGACCATCAGGGCTTGGCTATTGTAAAACCTTTTTGTTGTTTGCGGTATTCGGTGAACCGTGTTGCGTCTTTCTCGGGAACGCCTTGAAATGATCGGTCGTGGTCACCATTTTATGTTTTACTGCACCGTGGGACTCTAGCACAGACCGAGCTATAGGAGGAAAATAACAGGGTCTTAAAGGATTTAATTTATATCTCCCCATTCCTTCATTCCTTCCGCTTGCTAACAACGAAACCGGATATTCTGGGCGAATATAAGAGGAGGAGGGAAGGCCTCAAAAACATAGTAAACCGCCAAGTATGGAAGGACTCGAGCTCCTGGCCCCCCATATCGCTCACTCGTGGCATGCTCAATACAAGCATTTAAAAATGGATGGAGACAACTTGCAAAGATGTGAGGTAAGAGAATCTAATTCAAAGAGCTCAATTCCCCCTCACCACCCACTTGCGGGAGGGGTCTCTTGTGCAATAGGAACTTGCGTGCTACCTTGATTGGGCCGTTACCCGGCAATCCGGGTGGGGAGAAGTGTATGATATCATACCAAGATCGACGTGCGACATTCCAAGGGCCGGGCTAACGTACTGAAAAACGATATCGTGGGTCCCAGCTCTATTTCACGCAACGCACTCAGGCAGATCAAGTATAGCCTGTAAGCGGAATGCAGAGTAGAGAGTTTGAAGTAACTAAAGCGCACAAGAAATAAAACAACAAACACAATTGAAAATCCAAGTCGTAGTGATGCGGGGATGTTGCTTGTTCAACCAATCGCTGATTTCGTTCCCAAGGTGTTTCCCACAGCCTCTTATATACCTTCAAGGTGTGTGGAAAACGCAGTCTTGTGAAAACTTTTCCTCCACGATACTAACCACAACAGTCACACTCTCGCCAACCCAGACTATGTTCAGAAACTCTAACTAAAAGCAATAGTATACGAAGAATAAAAATCATCGCGCAATTTTTCCCTCCACAGTACGTCTTGCCCCCCCAACCTGGGAAACTTTGGGCCTATCTAAAGCTACCAGGCTATTTCCATGTAGGGAAACAACCTGATATGCACTAGTCCTTTGCATAATTTTTATTCACAAGATTTGAATCATTGCCCTGGTTTTTCATGCTTCTTTCGGTATTTACCGATAGACGGCCTCCCAAGCTACCCGGACACCCCCCCCCCACCCGGACAGGTGCTCATTGGTGGGTTTGCGTGAGGCAACGAGTGGTGATTGCCGCAGTTGCCACAGTTCACCTAAGTAAACCACTGGAGATTTTCTTGTTTGGGTTTAGCTGTCCGAGTGAGGGGGGTGTCCGGGTGGCCAGGGAGGCCGTCTAGACAAACAGTTTCTAAAATGCTCCACTCATTTGCTAAACAAATTTTCCACACCCGAGACCCTCTCCTGACTCTCCAGTTTTCTCTGGAACTATTTTGTACTGTGCCCGCCTAGGTCCCGAGCAGCATCCAGTTAAGAACATATCCTATATAGGGGATATTCCCTTGGTAAACCTTAGGGTTAGAAATATGAAATTCTTGTGAAGGCTAGCCCTCGTATCTAATATTTTCCATAACTCGGGATCGTTCTGGCAGTTTTTCAGATAAGATAAGAGCTGATCGGTACACGGCTAACAAAAAGTGAGATCTTTCCCGGGGATGGCTTTCCCCCCGCCGGACCGGACAATGGGAATACCAAAGAAACAGGTTCGACACAATAAAGTCCTACACCTCGAACCAACAGAAAATCCATTGGTGGAAGATTCAGAGCTGCGATGTAGCCCCCGTTGTATTGATCCAACTGAACAAAATCTATGGCGATACCATAAACTGTCACCAACTGCGAAATGAATGAGCCATCATAACCTCTTCCAGTACTTAGGCGGCATGCTCACCTTACATGTCTTTCAACCCTCGTATCATCAAGGAAATAATAGCAATTTCGTTTCAATTAACATGTCTTAAAAACACCATAATGGGAGAACAATTTGTTATCACTTAATGAGAATTACTTATTATATAATTCTTTGTATTTCAAAGCACCTAGCGATGAATCCTTGGGGTGATATGTATATTATTTATAGATACCAAATGTAGGATTGATTCTACACTGGCCGCCGCAGATGATGTGATGAGTATATCTTCTGTTTACGGTGCAGCAAGTATCGTATGTCCCGATTATTGAAACTGCAACGATTAGCAATGCAGCACAAAGAACCTCAATCGCCAGCACAACTTTGGGTAAGTTCTTATTCCACGCTCTCCGCCCCGTCACTCAACTCAACTAACTATAGAGTGAAGATAGGAGTATATAGGAACCACAACACAGGAATCATGATGTTTTTCTATCGGTCGCCGCACGTATCTACTCTCGTCAGCTTAATCATCGCTTTCCTCTGCGTACTCCGATACTAACAGAAGAACGACAGGCTTCATAAATGTTCCCACTATTCACAGCGTCCGCTGGGCACATCATCTTTGACTCTTCCGCACCACCTCCGACGGATATATCATTTCCCCCGAGGCTGCGTTAATCCAAACCGCATCTCCGAGGCCTTTATCCGAGAAAACCAAAAAATATCCCGAGAATGCTAAGCAGCATCCATGATTTCCAACAACTAACTTGGTACGATTAGTGACTATCATGATCGAGGCATGATGCTCGCGTGACTGATCAGCACCTGAGTACCCCACTCTTCTATTTAATAAACCAAATTCCCAATAGTTGTCTGAAGCGTAGGTCATGCCCTCCGTACTGCTTTCTCGTTGGACTCTTCGCCCTGTATTTAAGCTTCGCTAATTCCAAGTTTTGATAATGTTAGGGGCACGTATCTACTGGACGACCCACTGTGTGTTATATAGGTATTGTGCAAAGCCGAGAATGCCGCACCCCCTGACCCGCTGAACCTGAAGCCACTTGGAATAAAAGAGCCAGCTTCAAATACTGATCCCTAATGAAACCTAAATGAAGCACGAAAGAATGAAGTGGTGAGGGTGGAATCACGATAGATCATAAGTGGAGATGAACACAGAAGGAGGGAAAAGCTCTAACTGACAACCAACCTCCCAGCTAAGGACAGGACCGAATATATATCTCCCAAACTCCAAAAACTCAACGAACTCTAAAGAAACCCATCGAGCCAATGAACCATGATCTCAAACAATCTAGAACCATCCTGATATCTCATGATCCACTATGATCCCTCAAGCCTCTGCCCCATATGAACTACCCTATGCCTAATAGCATAAAGTGTGAAAGAAACGACAAAAGCCAAAAACCTATATCCTATGCCTAGTGGCATAGGATGCGAAAGAAACGATCTCATGCCTCATGCCCGATAACCTCCGATCCGCCTAAT